AAACCTTGAAATACAGCTTTATTACATCCAGATAATTTACAAGTTGGAGTAGAATTACTAGCGGCTTGTGTGTGATTCGAAAGAGTTATGGTGTGGTGATGCACCATTTTGAGCATTATTTGAATTAAATTGTCTGCCATGATCTCTACAACAAAATTCATAACCAGGATATGCAGCTTTATTACAACCAGATAATTTACAAATTGGAGTAGTATTCGAATTATTAGTGGCTTGCGTTTGATTCGAAGAGTTATGGTTTGGTGATGCACCATTTTGAGCATTATTTGAATTAAATTGTCTGCCATGATCTCTTCCACAAAATTCATAACTAGAATAAACAACTTTATTACATCCAGATAATTTACATGTTGTGGTAGTGTTGGAGTTACTAGAAACAGGTGTTTGCGGACTATTAACTATTGGTTTATTTGATGTAAACATTAAACCATGGGAACGTGAACAAAATTCATGTCCCGGGTAAACATTTTTCCCACATCCAGGTAATTTACAAACAGTACTCATTAGGAAATAAAATAAATATAATATGAAAATTAAAAAATAAAATGTAATAATATTATAAAACAACAAAATAATTATAAAAAAAAAATAAGAAAAATTTAGAACAACAAAATAATTATAAAAAAAAAAAGAAGAAAAATTTTTAAAAAAAATTTTAACAATATCTTTAACAAAAAAAAATAGAATTCTCCCAAAAATAAAACAATCAACATTTTTCCATAAAAAAAAAATCATTTTTGGATTAAATGTCTTAGAAAGCTGAAAATTTTTTTTTTTTAAATAATATCTTTAACAAAAAATAAAAAAAAAAAAATAGAATTCTCCCAAAAATAAATCCAACTGATTCAATAAAAAAATATCTTTTTAATAAAAATTTTTTTTTTTTTTTTTTAAAAAATAAAAATTTTTTTTTTTTTTAAAATCAATTCAAAAAATAGACTGCTATAATTTTTTCTTTTATTTTATTTTTTTTTATCATCTTTATATACTATTAAATGTCAAATACATTTTGTAAATTACCAGGTTGTTCAAACCAAGCAAACCAAGGTTTTGATTTTTGTTGTAAATCACATGGTATAACATTTAAAAATTCAAAACAAAACACTTCTTTTCAAGTTTGTAGTTGTCCAAAAAATAATAATATTGATATTGTTAATAAAAATATGTATCACAATAATTATAATCAAAATAATATTAATTTTTATAATATGAATAACAATACAAATATTAAAAATTCAAAAAAATCTACAATTATATGGATCAACGAAACTCCTATTTCCGAAAAACAAATGAAAGTATTCAACAATTTAAAAGAGAAATATTCAATCATTCAGTTATTTAATGTTGATGATTTTGAAAAAATTGAATTAAAATCAATTGAATGGGTTGTAAGTTACAAAAATTATCCAGAGTTGGTAAATAAAAATATAACTTACTTTGTAATTAGTGATGAATTTATTGATAGTAATACTCCTAGCAATATATATCCATTTATGATGTCAACCAACCTTTTCCTTAATCAGGTATACACACCAAATAAAAAATTACCCCAAATAAAAACCAATTCAGGCGAATTAAAGTTTTATAACCAAGGACAAGATTTCTATGAATTTACAAATTTTTATGAATCTCCATTTTATTTGGATGGAAAGTTATGGACAACATCTGAACATTATTTTCAAGCACAAAAATTTTCACCATATCAATCTCTAATTGAACATGTACGTAACCTTCCATCACCAAGAGAAGCATTCAATTTCACCAAAAAACCAGATCTTCAAATAGATATCAGAAAAGATTGGCATGAAATAAAAGATATTATAATGTACAATGCTTTGTTTGCTAAATTTACTCAAAATCATTACCTTAGACAACTTTTATTATCAACAGGTGATATGAAACTAATTGAAGATAGTCCAATAGATAACTATTGGGGTGTAGGTAAAGATGGCACAGGTAAAAATAAATTGGGTGAAACATTAATGGATTTAAGACGTAGTTTAAATATGACACCATCATTATAATAATATTTAAATTTCAAATAAAAATATCTTTTTTTTCAATGCATTATATATAACAACAAAATAAATATTATTTTTTTTTATATTATGATAATTAATAATAATAAATTAAATATTTTTATATAATATTTAAAATAGTATTACTTTTTTAAGAAAAAATAAAAAATATAAACATTTTAAAAAAAATATTTATAAAAATGAAATTTTTTTTTTTCAAAGACACAAACACATAAATAATTTTAATAAAGTAAACTTTAGCACATCCAATCAATAATAATAATAATCTAAACATTGCTGAAAATATAGAAAAAATATAGAAAATAGAAACCGAATTACTAACATAAATTAAATTAACTTTTATTAATTTTCAAAAGACAGGTTTACCCAATTAAAAACATTCAATACTCTATGAAAACAATGATAGTTAAACAAAAACTAAAACTGAAATGATTTTAAACCTTCAATTTTAAAAATCAATGTGGCCACCATTAGATTCAGTTAAAATTAATATAAATTTATATTAATAAAATTATTTTTTACTTTTTCAATTCATATTTTTTTTCAACCTTTGTATAATGTTTTAGTGTTTATAAAACACTAACCTTTTATATTTTTAAAAAATAAATATAATTTTTTAAAAAATAAATATTCAAAATCAATAAAAAAAAATTTGTTAAAAGATAAAGAAAAAGTTGAAAAAATTTTTTAATTGATCATGAATGTTTATTGATTTTTTTAGATTGATATTTCCCAGTTTCAAAAGATTTCAAAAATTAGTAAGGTTTTTTTTTTAAATTATAATATTATTATAAACTCCCTTTTGAAAAAAATTATTATTAAATTATTAAAAATTTATAAAAAAATTAAAAAATTTGTTAATGGGGAAAGAAATGTTGAAAAAAATTAGAACAAAAATATCTCAATTGTTTTCTATTTTTTTTTAAAAATTTTGCACAATTAAAAAATTATAAAAAAAAATAAATTATTTCTTACAATAAAAAATTTATTTTTATATTTTATTATTTTTTTTTATTATAAACTATATAAAAATGTTTTGCCATAATTGTTTACGTCCTTCACCTTATTGTCAATGTTTACAAATAGTACAATTGTTATCTGGTCTAATTCAAGAAGCAATTTTACAAAAACAACAAGAAGAGAGACAACAACAACTATTTTATGAGTTACAAAGACAAAGATGTCAACAATTAGCATTTTCTCAATCATTAAACAATCAATATTCTTTTAATTCATTTGGAAACCAAAATCCATACGAACATTTATTTCTTTCAAGTTGGACAAAATATGATTGTGGTAGACCAACTTCAATTCAATATATCCAATTCAGTGATTATTATATTCAAAAACACAAACAAAATTATGATTCTTTATTTATACCAAAAAATGAAATGATATTATTTCATGGTACTCCAAATACATGTTCAACTATAACTTGTGGAAGATGCAGTGCATGTGGAATAAAAGAATCTGGTTTTAAAATTTCATTTAGCGGTACAAATATATCTTTTTTAAGATTTGGAAGAGGTATCTATCTTGCACCAAATTCATCAAAAGCCAATGATTATAACAATAATCAAAACAACAATTATCGTTGTACTATTGTTTCAAAAGTAAATCTTGGTAACTCAGTTAGATTGTTACAAACCAATCAACAATTTTCCCTTCCATATGGATATCATTCAGTTCATGGTCAAGCTGGATGTGATTTAAATTATGATGAATATGTTGTATATAATGAAAAACAAGTTTTACCAATAGGCATATTTATTTATAAATTACATTAGATGGATAATATATTATTAATTTCAAAATAAAATTTTATAATCATTTTATACAATTATTACAAATTAATCCCTTATATTATTTTATCTAATGTTTTATTAAAAAAATTTTTTTTTTTTAATAATATCTTTAACAATAATAAATCAATCTGAATCTTTCAAAAAAAAAAAATCTTTTTTGTTTCAAAATTTTTAGAAAGCTAAAAAAAAAAATAATAATAATAATATTTTTAAAAAAAAAAAAAATAGAATTCCCAATCTTAAAAATCTTAAAGCTGAAAAATTTTTTTTTTTTTTTTTAAAATCAATTCAAAAAATTGACTGCTCTAATTTTTTCTTTTTATTTTTTTTTTTTATATTTTATCATCTTTATATACTATTAAATGTCAAATACAGTTTGTTGATTACTAGGTTGTTCAAGCTAATAATACCAAAGGCCTTGTTATTTTTTTTCAAAAAAAGGTGATCCGCTAATAGACCCAACAGTCTATAAATAATAGATTGCTCAAATCACCATTTGGTATAAACTTATTTTATTAGTAACTAGTTATTGGTGATACCTCTACGTGTAATAATTTAGTAATTGTTCATTATTTTTAATAAGTATAAAACAATTTTAGAAATAGCATGTATAATTATTTATTATTATTATACATTCAATAAATGATGATAAATTTAATTAAAAAAAAAAAAATTTCAAAAAATTCCAAATAAATTTTTTTAATTTTTTTTTTCTAAAAAAAATAGAATCTCTTTTTTGAATATTAATATATCTTTTGTCTTTTTTTTTTCATTTGATTAAATTATTTTTAAAGAAATGAATATATGGATGAAAAAATATTTTTAAAATAAAAAAAAAAAAAGATAATAAGGGATAATTAAAAAAATTTTATTTTAATTGAAAGTCTTATTTATTGATAATTATAATGATAATGATGATTATTATATAATCTTGAAATCAGCAAAAACAAAATCTGGCTTATCATTGGTATAATCGGGAGTATTACCTTGACTGTCATGAAATGGAATGATTTGATTTATATCTTTATATTTATATTTTTGATATAATGGAACAATGGCAAAATGACGTTTGTATTCTTCAGTATCAGTTAATTGAAGATGTTCAGAGTAACGGTTGGTACGAGAATTTCTGGTTTTATTTATAACATTTAAAATATCGAATGAAACATGAGCATCATAACGATCTCCATTTAGTATAAGGACTATTCCTGAAATTTTAAATAATGGTAAATTTTGAAAATATAATATTGGAAAGATGAGTGTTACTGAATCATTAAGTATAGTATCTTCAATCAAATAGTAATTGAGACCATAGTTCAAATCTGTAATAATATATTGTAAACACTTTTTAACTGTAGTTTTTTGGTTGTTTTCCAAATATGTTGGGGAGTAATTTTGTTTATGGTGAAAATCTTGAATATGAGTTATCTTTGGATCTATTGGATGATTATTAAAGTTATTTGGTACATTATGAGAATCGTTCTCACTTGATTGAATTCTGGAATTTTCATTTGCTTTCTTCTTTTTTGGTGTCTTGCTAGTGTCTTTTTTTGGTTCATTGCTTCTTTTCTTGATTTTTGAAACTAAAATTTCTGGGGATTCCATTTCATTTTCTTCGTTTTCACCTCTATCCTTATCTTCACCACTACCATTACCTCCTTCCATATCTGTAACATTGATAAGTTCTTTTTGGCAATCCAGTATATGACTTGAAAAATTAGTATCTTCCTCTATTCCTTCATATTCACTATTGTCTTTGTCATTTAACATATTCTCTTCATCCACTGTTGATACTGAACTATTGACTATTGATGAGTTAGAATTAAAACCATGTTCTTTTGTACTGAGTCCAATTGATAAATTTAAAGTGTATAATACTAGAAATAATGCATCTTGTTGCTTTTGAAGGTTACTCTTCCAGATACCACTGAAACAACCAAATTTCTTGAGTATACCAAAAACATTATCAATAATGATTCTCTTTCTTTTTATAAAAGAGTTTTCTAGCTCTTCTTTGTGAGTCATTAATCTATCTTTTGGTTCAAAATGTGGAATTAAAATTTTACTCTCTTCACCTTTGTAACCCCTATCACCAATAAATCTTTCCCCAGGTTTCATATTTACTTTTCCCAAACCAGATCTAAATATTGAAATATCGGATGCAGGTGCTTTAAAAGGACCGTTTACCCATAATACTTTACTCATCATATAATGAACAACCAACTTCATATTAACTCCTCTATGACCATACTTG